CAGCAGTAGGCTCCGGTCGCTGCTGGACGCACAGCCCTGCCACGGGCCGCCTCAGGGAGGGCAGAACACAGGCCGACCCTGCTGTGGGCCCTCGTTCCCCCGAGAGGAGGCAGCCAGAAGCTGCTTCCGAGCCCACCCTGCAAGGGACAGGCACGCAGAGATTGATTCTCTTGGCGCTGCTTCTCCTTCAATGACCATAGTGAGAGACGACAGAAAAAACAAGCACGTCACCAGGCGATGAGGAGACCTGCCTTCTCTGCCCACCTGAAGTTGCTGTTGAAGTTTGTAGGCAGCCTTAGTCCAACAGTCATTGCCTAGAAAATTGGCTGCAAGGACTCGGACTCCGCATGCCTGAGGACCGAGGCAGACAGGGCTTCTCATGCAGCACCCGTGTGACAACAGCCACGCGCTGGAAGGTGCAACAGAAAAACAGGGTCGAGATGGTTAAGAGGTCATGGATAAGCTGCTGTGGCACAGTTTACTTCCAATGACAGTAAGCATGGCACTTCCAACTCCTGACTGGCAGAGCTGTCATTGTGTAACAGCAGAGCAGCACAGACACACACCCAACTAACAGGTCTGTTTGTAATACTACCCAATTCAGACATTGCTTTCTGAAGACTGTTTAAGAGCCACTGTGGCAGATTTATTAAGTGCCGAAACAGGATAGTAAAGTGCAGAGACAAGTTTCCAACAATTAACTTATTCCTTATTTCTTTTACTTTACTTTATTAGTCATCATCTGCAAGGATTTTTCTCAGCCATATTTCTTCCTCTGTTACATTCAAGTCATCTAACTCATGCATTTTGGTCACTTGGCATCACAACAGCCTGACAGGAGGCTGTAGTGTTCTGGATTACAGGGTTTATGGTCCATTTTTGGTATAGAGAACATGTGAAGAAACATGACAAAACACAGCCTTTGACATATTTAAATATTTATTTTGTAGAATCACTTTATGTATGAGACAGTAGTTTGATTAAAAAGCTGTACCCTGATATATGCACACAGCCTACTGTATTGTCAACACAAGAAACCTTAAAAGAAGCCTGAACACATTGAGCAGTTCTGTATTGCCATGCTGAATGTGGTCCTTTTTTAGTTTAACACACTACCAGCTTAGAGTGTGCTGCCTCTTTAGCACACCTAGCTTAGGGTGACCAGTGACTACAGTGTGACACTTCTACTAAGTTCTGCTGCCATCCATATGAACTGTTGTAATTTTTGAACTGCAGTTTGCCACATAATAGCTACCCAGTCCATGCTGTCTGCGATATCTTACAAGAGGCTCCTACCAGTGGAAGAGGAAGAAAAGCTCCAACAGAAGAACTGAGAATCAGTATTTGAAGACAGAAATCTCATCAAGAGCTCATGAAGTTTCACAGCCTTCAGCTACAGGAGGTTGAAAACAAGAACCTAAAGAACCTAGGAAGTGCTAAGAGAAAAAAAAAAAAAAAAGGTATTTCTATAGATACCAGGAACCTCCAGCGCTATTAAGGTCAAACAATTAAACCACAGGATGCCTCAGTTCTAGCGAGCAGAAGACCTAATAAAGAGGTAGAACATACCACAACCTACTACTCCGCAAGTCCTCCTCTGTTTTCTGTAACAAGCTGTCAGTGTTCCAGGTGTACCTGTTATGCAATAGCCACTGTGGTAGCTTGACTTTGATATGATTCCCTGCAGCATTCTTACTCCCATACCTCATGGTCACCTTAGTAGACATGAAGGAAAGGAGAAATTTAAGAATGAGCTGCAGGACTGTAGCAAGTAGCAGTCAGCTTGTTTGCTCCTCAGTGAAACTAAATAAAATCATGCAGAGAGGACAACATACCCAGGTAAATGCTGAAGGGTTTGTGTTAAAAATAGAGTGCAGGGAACTGTACTTCAGGGGGCTGACACCTCTGCTAAGTTTCATGCTTGAAACTGCAGTTCAGCCCTGCAAAGGAATCTGGACAGGCTGGATCAATGGGCTGAGGCCAGTTGTATGAGGTTTAACAAGGCCAAGTGCTGGGTCCTGCACTTCAGTCACAGCAACCCCATGTAATGCTACAGGCTTGTCGGGGAGTGGCGGGAGAGCTGCCTGGCAGAAAAGGACCTGGGAATGTTGGTTGACAGTAGCTGAACATGAGCCAGCAGTGTGCTCAGGCGGCCAAGAAGGCCAAGAGCATCCTGGCCTGGATCAGGAATAGTGTGGCCAGCAGTACAGAAGTGATTGTGCCCCTGTACTTGGCACTGGTGAGGCCACACCTCGAGTCCTGTGCTCAGTTTTGGGCCCCTCACTCCAAGAAGGACATGGAGGTGCTGGAGCGTGTCCAGAGAAGGGCAGAAGAGCTGGTGAAGAATCTGGAGAGCAAGTCTTATGAGGAGCAGCTGAGGGAACTGGGATTGTTTAGTCTGGAGAAGAGGAGGCTGAGGGAAAACCTTACTGCTCTCTACAACTACCTGAAAGGAGGGTGTAGTGAGGTGGGTGTTGGTCTCTTCTCCCATATAACAAGTGACAGGACAAGAGGGAACAGCCTTAAGTTGCACCAGGGGAGGTTTAGGTTGGATAGTAGGAAAAAATTCTTCACTGAAATGGTTGTCAAGTATTGGAATAGGATGCCCAGGGAAGTGGTGGAGTCACCATCCCTGGAGGTATTTAAAGGATGGGTAGATGTGGTACCTGGGGACATGCTTTAGTGGTGAACTTGGCAATGCTAGGTTTATGGTTGGACTAGATGACCGTAATGGTCTTTTCCAACCAAACGATTCTATGATTCTATGAATACACTGCAGGCATTTGCCTACTTAATACCACTTTTCAAATGGCAGGAAGTTAAGCAACTAGGTGAAGTTCACAGTACAGCTCAGCACAGCTGTTTAGAAGTCTGAAGCTTTTGCTAGCTCCACATTCTAGCCGTTAATCATAGGTCCAAGTTATACAATGTCATTCTGTTATTCTCCTCTTAATTCAGTCTCAGACTGTAGCACTAAACCAGCAAGTATTTTCTGAGGCATTTGTGAGAGTAAACAGTGGTTTTACAAAGTCATTTTTTTATGCTATTCTTCCTGTCGGGCAGGGATTGCACATGGCCAAAGTTTGGGCTAACAGAAAAGTAAACACATGGAGCCCCATTTCTTCCACTTTCAAAACTAAGCTTACTTTATTTAAAAAGCAGCAGCAGGCGATACTGCTACAGCATTGAACTTCTGCCTTTGTGTGAGTGTGCAGTCTCCTTTTAGTGACTGTATGAACTATTTACTGAAACATTAATGAGTAAAAATAAACACTGATCTAAGCCTTAAGGTAATCAAAAGATTATCTGAAGAAGCTGGAGTAACCACAGTCATACAATTAAAGGTCCTCAAATGATACCATCAAAATTTTCCTCAGGGCATTACAGCTATCTAGCATTCCTACTCTCAGACAGCAAAAGATACAGCACAACTTCAGAAACAGGGCGTGTTTCATCAGCCAGTGCGCATGCTCTAGCTCATACAACTTGCTGTGGGCAAAGCAGAAGTGATTATAATCTAGTCTGGCAAACATTTCTTCGGTATCAAATATCAAGGGAATAGTTTTGGACCTGGCAGACCACCATCATAATCAACAACCACTGCAGTTCAGCTGGTAAGAGAGCCAAGTCTGACAATCACCTCCATGGGAGGTACACACGGACTACAAGGGAGAATGTGCACTTGTAAGCAACTCCTATCCAGTCCTGAGCAAGCTTACCCTTACACAGGGTTTTCCCATTACAAAAGCCTTCCGCCTTGTTTACCCTCGTGATTCCAGGATTTCTGGTGTTTATGAACAGATGCTGTTCTGGCCCACAGGTGGACTTTTAATATGGCAGGCCACAGAAGCTCTTAAATAATTCTGTTCCCAAGAAAGATGAGTGAAAACTTCCCCTCTCTTGTCACCATGGGGACTACAGTCTGCTATAGTACTCCAGTTTCAAGACAATGGCCTCTAAAAGCCCCTAACAGTAGTTAAGAATGCTGTCATTCCAAGTACTGCATTTGCCTAGGATGTGTCCAAGCACAGATTCACATGGCAGCAGACCAATTATGTAAATAAAGTGACTTCTACACATTTGTCTAGTCATTATAGGAAGAGCCACTGGACAAAAGAACAAGGATTCTTCTTGGAATTTCCCAGGCTGCAGCTGAACAAACCACACCTTCTTCCTTTTGTAAATAGCATCTGTCTACCTCCTTTGTAGATACCTCTGGTTGTTTCCCAGAAGAAAAAAAAAAAAAAAAAAAGTCCACCACAACTCCTGCCTTATGCAAACTAGGTAAGATACAGGTGTCAACAACTGGTCAAGAATTATGGCATCTTCTTAGCAGGGCACCAAATAGTGTCAGGATAGAGCAGACAATGGACAGACTTAAATCTATGAAGAAAAAAAAAAAAAGGAAAGAAAACATTAGCTTGTAATTCTCCATACAAGGAACACACTAGCATTGAATGTGCAGTACTCTAATAGAGCAGAGTGGGTTGGTCTGCCTGCCTTTGGCACAGTGACAAGAGCTGTCATAAGAAAATAACCCCATTAGTGGGCTTGATCATCTTACAGATAGAGAAACATGAACAAGGCAGGGAGATCTTGTTTGAAAGTGGACACTCACCGGGTTGGATCTTGCTGAAGGCCAAACACTCCTCCCACACTCACAACATTGTGTTTGTTCTCAGGGTCCCCGTAACTTAGGGTTACCTGTAAAAGCAAATAAATATTCAGAAATTGTAACACTAATCCAGAAAAACAGAGAGGGGGTAGCTGGATTATTAATGAGGTATGAAGAAAGATTCTAAGGATTCTGTCTGATCTGAACGGTGGATTAGCACTTAATGGTTGCTATCAAATGGACCATTGCTCACCTGAAAGGCAATGTGGGACAATAAACAAAGGGGCTGAAAGTTAAATTGCCCTGAAGGACAGATGAGTTACAATTGTAATCTGTAAGGGCATTAATCCTGCTAATGCCTGTACCTTCATAATTTATGTTCATCCTCAGTAGACATTGCCTGAAGTCTGCAATAGTCTTAGCACAGAGGGAAAATATAAAAATGTGGATATTAAGTGGCATGCAAAGGACTGCCATGTGACCAACCTGGCAACAAAATTTAGAACTCCGGAACTCAAATTTAGTGCTAGTCTTCCACACAAGCACTGTATTAAGAATTTTTGAGGTGCCGGGTATCAGACGACTTATGTTTTCTTTCTAATTGTATATTTCCTCGATTTTGGGTTAGCTGTTAGTGTCTCAGGGAAACAATGATCACCAACGAAAGGCTGTATTCAGCTTACAGTTAAATTCACTAACAAGAAGT